CTCAAAAAGGTAAAAGAGCCGATGCTGAAAGGGTTGAAGGAAGGTTTGCGCTTTGTGTTCCGAACTCAGCTTATCCTGGCAGCCCTGTCGCTGGATATGTTTGCGGTATTATTCGGCGGAGCCGTTGCCTTACTGCCTGTTTATGCGAGAGACATCCTGAAAGTGGGTGAAGTTGGTTTTGGCTGGCTGCGTGCTGCTCCCGGCATGGGTGCCCTGGTGATGTTCTTTATATTGTCCTGGCGTCCTTTAAAAAACAAACCGGGTATCAAGCTGCTTTTTTCCATTGCCGGTTTTGGCATCTGCACCATCGTCTTTGGGCTCTCCCGGGTATTTGCCCTGTCCTTTGCTGCCCTGATGGTTGGCGGTATGTTTGATGCCGTCAGTGTGGTGATCCGCGGCACCATCCTGCAACTCTACACACCCGATGATATGCGGGGCCGGGTTGCGGCGGTCAATACCATGTTTATCAGCTCATCTAATGAGCTGGGAGAGGTGGAAAGCGGGTTTACCGCCAAATGGATGGGGCCGGTGCCAGCCGTTATCTTCGGTGGCTGTATGACACTGGCGGTGGTAGGTGTTACCTTTTTTGCCGCCCCATTATTGCGTGTGCTCAAGCTGGATGCACCGGAAGAAAAACCGGGAAAAGATTAGAGGCTGTCTAAGCTTTATTTAAATGTTCTATAGCTCGTCTTTTAGGCTACATCTTCGTTGGATTTTTCGTCGTAGTTTCCTACTACGCCTATAAAATCTGCCTCGATTCGCTCAAAAATACTTCGCCATCCTTCCAATAAATAAAATTTAGACAGTCTCTTAGTTTTTCTGCGGCAGGAACATCAATACGGCAGCAGCAATGATTAGCACAAACGCCAGTATATAATTCCATTTTAGCGGTTGATGCAGGAATACGATCGCGAAGATGGCAAAAACGGTCAGTGAAATAATTTCCTGTATTGTTTTCAGCTGAAAGGCAGAAAATCCTTCCTGGACACCAAAACGGTTATTAGCCGGTACCATAAAACAATATTCAAAAAAAGCGATTCCCCAACTGATCAGGATCAGCTTCCAGATGGGAATCGCCTCTATATTTTTATTCATCAAACCACCATACCAGGCATAGGTCATAAAGCAGTTAGAAATCAGCAGGCAGATGATAGTCCGCATAGTTATGCTATAACAGGCTTTTTAGCTTTTCTACTACTTCGTCCACTTCTTCCCTGGTATTGTGCCGGGAAAATGAAAAACGAATGGGTACCAGGTCTGCCGAACGGCCATTATAAATGGCTTTAATCACATGGCTTACAGAAGAGGCGCCACTGGTGCAGGCACTGCCGCCACTGACACAGATCCCGGCCATATCCAGGTTAAAGAGCAACATCTCGCTTTTTTCAGAACGGGGGAAGGATATGTTTAATACGGTATACAGACTGTTGCCTGCAGTATCTCCATTGCACAAAACATCGGGGAATGCAGCCGTCAGCTTATCACACATATATGCCTTCAGGTCATTCATATATTTGCTTTCGGCCTCATAACGCTGGGTTGCCAGCTCCAGGGCTTTT